AAGTATTTATTATATTAGATATAACAACATAATTAAAATATAATTAATAATATATATTTTATAAAATTATTAATATTTTATATATAAAAAAAGAATGAAATAAATTTTAGTGCTCCCCTATGATTAACGTAGATCTGTCTCTGCATGTGGTTGCGTGGTGAAATATTAGTCATGTGTATCCTCTTTCTTTACTTCAGGTTCTACCTCTTCAAGAACAAGTTGTTGTTGTTGGGGTACATTGTTAATGACTTCACGGAAAAATATCATATCATTTCATCCTTTACTACATAGTGTCAATTTGGTAGTAAGTGGTTCACTCCAGTTTGAAATGAAATAAAATCTGCTACTATTGTCTTTAGTGATACACTGCATTATTTTTAATGATACACTGTATAACCTAACTGTTTAACAATTGAAGTTATCAATTTCCATTGACAATATTACCAAATTCAGTGTTTGAAATGTTTTGTACCTTGGGTCTTTTTCCTTCCACGATTCACAATCGTGAACTATAATCATTGATCGTTTATGTTTAGCAGTCTGGAACTAGAACCGCCCGTTCTAAAACCAGAACGGCCCATTCTAGTTGCACATTTAGTGTGTTAATTTTGCACCTGGAACGGGGCATTCCGGATGCAAAATTTACACACCAAGAGTGCACCCAGAACGGCCCGTTCTGGTTTCAGAACGGGACGTTCTGGTTCCAAGTGTTTTCAATAAATTGTCATCCACGTGGCATCCACTTATGTGTCTACGTGACATCCACGTGGCCAACAATTAACTCCATTTAATAATTTGGACGGAAGTCTGAAATTAAAACCAATTAATTTATTAGGGACCAAATTGAAACTAATTAATTTATTATGGACCAAATTGAGACCAAAAATAAAAGTGAGACTAAATTGAAACAAACAATTAACAAAGCATCAGGTCTGCATTGTTGTTGTTTATCAAAGTTGAAAATTAGATCAATGGGGTAATCCTCAAATATTAAAAGTAGGAGAGATTAATTTGATTACCAGTTCAACGATTTATAGGTCCATTCGGGAAACCGACTGATCATACTGATTTATATTAAATTGATGACACATTTGATTTATTGAGAGACTCGAATCACTTATTACACCGAGTCCCGATTCGACTAGGGAGTTTGAGTTAATTTTAAATATTTATTAAATCAAGAAAAATATATTAATTAAAGATATTTCATATAAAAAAATAATACAAGAGAGATTAATTTTTATACAAATATATATATATATATATATATATATATATATATAAGTAACACTTTATTCCGTATAAATATTTGAATCTTATAAAAATGATTGGATAGAGTAATTTTGTTGAATTCGTAAGTATATTTAAGAAGACTATATATTGAACAATATCAATCGAGCAAACCTAGCTGTCGAGTTTATTTTGACTTATTTAATTAAATAATGCTTGCATTCTTGTTATTTTGCTATCAAATGATTGATGAAGAAACAATAATTTGTTGTATTGAAAGGTGGATAGTTATTGATAGGTATGGTGTCCCATGCGTGGGTAGCAAAGTCCCGTTTCGACGTCGTTGCCTTTGCATCTACGAGTATAACACATGCATGCATGTGTTTGCGTGTCTCAGTCAACTTGTAAATTTTGACACGTGGTGGTGTGTTATCATGACTTCAAGGTACTGCAAGATGCACATTTATGAAACAATCGCACCGGTGCCAATGTTGAGGGTTTCTTTTAATATTGGAAAATTACATTAAAAATCATGAGCAATGTATTATTACACTTTGTAATAGAAAAAAAATGTTTTATTCTTTAAAATGAGACTAGTTAACATTTTTGTTAAATTACATTTTTAATTCCTTTATTTTGTTAATTTATAATTTTGAGTTTTTTATTTTAAAATAAAGATATTTAATTAATTTTATTATTTTTTTAAAAAAAATCAAAATTTAATTGTATTATCAATTTAATGTTCGTTACTCATTAAATATTGACATTGTTTAATGATTTATTATTATATAAGTGACGTGATTTATATAAATAAAAATGAAAAAAAATAAAAGATTTTTAATTATATCTATTTTAATGACTCATTAATACTTATTTTATTAATAAGTTTTATTTTTGTATTTTTTTTTATTTTCAAATTTCATGCTATTAAATGTTATATTATTATGTAAGTATGAGAAAATATTAAAACTTAAGATTAATAAATATAAATTTGATACGAAGACCAAAATAAAAATTATAGGGATTAAATGTCTATTTTAAAATAAAGAGACCAAAATTGGGAATCAATGAAAATATATGGAAAAGTACAATTTAACTTAACATTCTCCTATATATAAAAAAAAATAATTTATTTCCATAATAGAAAATACTTTCAAAATGTAAATTTTTCATATATTTTTTTAAAAAATCTTTCTTTTTATGAGAAAATTAATTAATTTATTCAAAAATAAATAAGAGATAAATTTTACTAATGAATATTTAAAAAAAAAAACAAATCAATAATTATTACTCTTTATCAAATGTTTTCGATAATCTATTCCTTTAAAATAAATAACACGATTTATATGAACTTTTCTTTTTACACAATCGCGTTGTTTTTTTATATTTTTATTTTGTGGCATGGCTTTTGTTTTCTTAATTAACATTGTTAATTTTTAATTAGTTATTCAATCAAAGATTTCTTTTTATATTTCTTTCAATTTTTAATCAAAATTTAAATTTCATAGAGTAATATAAGTATAATGAGATTTTTGAATCACTATTAAAATGATTTTGTCAATCAAATCATTTTTTATATTAAAAATTTCAAAATCTTGATTTTTATACTTTAATTTATATTTCTAGTATTACTAAAATATCATTTTATAAATTAATTATTAATATATATGTAATTTATTATAAATA